CTGTTATTGTGTTGTACTTTATGATTCTTGACCCTTGACGAAAGTTATTTTTTCTTTTATGAACACACTGAGAGCATTTGCACCAAGACAAATTCCTTGTGCGTCCAATCACACTTGGCCAATAAAATAATTCTGTTCTGTTCTATTCTATCTAATCTTTTTTATATTCTCTCTCTAATAGTCTGCCTCTATTCTATCATTTATCTAATCTCTCTCTCTAATATTCTGCCACTATTCTGTCTGTCTGTCTGCCTATCATCTACCATCTTTCTTTTTCTTTTTCTTTCTTTCTTTCTTTCTTTCTTTCTTTCTTTCTTTCTTTCTTTCTTTCTTTCTTTCTTTCTTTCTTTTTCTTTCTTTCTTTCTTTCATCTATCTATCTATCTATCTATCTATCTATCTATCTATCTATCTATCTATCTATCTATCTACCTATCTATCTAATCTTTTTCCATTTTCTCTTGAATATTTGGCCTTCTCTCTATCATTTATCTAATCTCACTCTGTGTCACTATTTTTCCATCTATCTACCCATCATCCATCTTCTCTTTCTCCCTCCCTCCCTCCCTCTCTCCCTCCCCCCTTCTCTCTCCATGGTATATCTGCATCTGGAGCATTAGCATATAGAAACTGACACTTGAAAAAATTCCCCCAGCCAGAAAGAGTGCAAAAACAAAAACAGACAACCCATCCAATTTGGGGCAAAAGTCAACAAATTAATGCAAAACTGTCTCCAAATTCTTTGTGCTGCAAACAAGAGTTTGGCAAGATTTAACAGGGGCATTATCCATTATCATCTCTAGCAAGAAGAACAGGAGTTTTCCCCCGCTCCACGTTCAAATTCTTCGTATCAGAATTTGGAGATTATGTCTATCATCACTCAGGATCAAAAAAGAGAGGAGTTTTTAAAAAATAAATGTATTTCAGCCATGGTTTTGGCTGCCTCTGGATTTAATGAGGGCTGGTATCTATCTATCTATCTATCTATCTATCTATCTATCTATCTATCTATCTATCTAATCTAATCTAATCTTTTTCTATTCTCTTTCGAATATTCTGCCTTTACTGGTAGAAAGAGTTAAAGGGGAGCTGGAGAAATTCACACTAAATTTCTGAATTTCATGCTACTTTGGCTGACTGAGAATTGTAGTAACAACCAGCGGGAATAATAACAGATCGAGGCTACCAATCCTCCAGTGGTCAGCTCCAAAAATAACTGACCGGTGACCAGGTAAGATGGAATCCCAAGTATGATGGAATAAACTATAATCAGAAGGCCGCGTTCACTTTAATTAGATAACTCCCTGGTTCTCCAATGAACTTTCAAGTACCTGAAACTATAACCACCATCATTCTGAGCTGGCCTGCCAGGAAGGAATTATAAGATATCCGGCTCAGTCCAAGAAGATGCTTACAGGTTGGTTACAGTCAAGCTAGACTACAGTTATGGTAGTCCTCGACTTACAACAGTTCATTTAGTGACTGTTTAAAGTTACAACGGCACTGGAAAAAAGTGATTTATGACCATTTTTTTTCACACTGCAACATTCCCAAGATTACGTGATCCAAATTCAGAACTGACTCATATTTATGATGGTCGCAGTGTCCAGGGGTCCCTTTTGTGACCATCTGATAAGCAAAGTTAACAGGGGAAGCCAGATTCACTTAGCAACTGCAATGATTTAACAACAGTGGCAAAGAAGGTCATAGAACGGGGCAAAACTCACTTAACACACGTCTCATTTGGCAACAGAAATGCTGGGCTCAATTCTGGTTGTAAGTTGAGGACTACCTGAATTTACCTGCATTTTTCTTTTACTCCCAAATCTTTGGTCCACATTGTAAATTACTTACTGAGAACCTAATTGTGTTTTTTCTTCTTTAGTTAAGGGTTTCTTCCACCCTGCTTTTATAAAACATTTATACCCTGCATTTATGAAATATTTATGCCCTGCATTTATAAAAGCCAAAGAACATTTGCTTTTATAAATACACATTGATTTATTAAAAAGATGCAATTTCATTGACTTAAGCATTTTTATGTGAGTAAAAAGGTGTCATTTTGCTATTTTTTTTCTTTAGTTAAGTATTTTTTTCACCCTGTATTTATAAAGCCAAAGGCTCTTTGCTTTTATAAATACTCAAAGATAGATCCAATTTTATTTATTTAAGCATTTCTTACAATACAAAAGTAGCACCTTGTATTTCTTTTCTTTAATTGTTTCTTCACCCTATATTTATAAAACTAAAAACTTTTTGCTTTTATAAATACAAATGGATTTATTAAATAGAAGCAATTTTATTTATTCAGGCATTTCTTACATGAGTAAAAAGGACACCAATTTGCAATTTTTATCTTCAGTCAAGCGTTCTTATTCTGAATTTATATAACCAAAGAACTTTTGCTTTTATAAATAAACATAAATGTAGTAAATAGACACCATTTTTATTTACCGAAGCATTTCTTACATGAATATAAAAAGCATCTTGCCATCTTTTCTTCCATCAAGCAGTTGTATACCCTATATTTATAAAACCAAAGACTTTATGCTTTTATAAATATACACAGATTTATTGAAAAGATGCAACTTTATTTAAGCTTTTCTTACAATATATACAAAAGCAACTTCTTGAAATTATTTCCTTTAGCTGTTTCTTCACTTTATATTTATAAAACCAAATGTCATTTGCTGTAATAAATTATACAGATGTAATCAATAGATATAATTCTATTTATTTAAGCATTTCTTACACTAATCAGAAAGGCACCTGTCTACAGAACTCAATCTACACACAACTATTCCAACCTCACAACAACCTTGTGAGACCTGTGCAGAAATTGTGACTCACAAAAAGGAATTTCATGACTAAGTGGAAGTTTAAATCCAGATTTCTCCAGGCTTCCTCTAATTTTTGTACAGCTTTTTTTAAAATGATGTATGCCCTAAAATCTTACAATATTCTCATCTAACCCAAGTTGTTAACGTATTGGTTTGCCTGCAAGCAGAAAAGCCAGCGCACAAAAAAGGGGAGATTTCTTGCAATTCTCAACCTAGGGCAATATAACACTTTACAATTTTTCTCTCTACGAAGAAATTAACATCCTAGCAAGACAATCTGTAGTGTAATCAAAGGATTATACATGCCAGGAAAGAGATGGAGAGTACTGCATTCCTCAATCTGACAACCCCAAACCATAATTCCCATTTCGCAGGAAGATGATGGGTATTGTAATCCATTGCTCGGGAAGGGGGGAAAACTGATTTTGGCAGCTCATCCAGCTAAAAGTTAGCTCCTCAATAGATTTTTAAGCCATTCAGGAAGGAAAAAGAACGAATCAGTGGCTGAACTTGAAGATCAGGAATATGGAGTTTAGAACTAGCTAAGGTTTAGCCAATCTTAAACCACAAATGTGGGTTTAAGGGCTCTGGAAGGGCAGCTCAGACCCAGAATCTCATAAATGAGGGATAAATTGATCCCAATATTGTGATTAATTTAAATTTATTGGCTGCCCACCTCCACTGGACTGTGGGCATTGTATATATATTTATCTGGTTTGTTACACCAATTTAAGTAGCCACCCAACTCACACCTAAGTGACTCCAGGAGTTTAAAAAAATAATCAAAAATCCACTATATACTAAAAACTCACCCGCTGCCCCCATTTTATAACATTTTCCTACTCTCTCTCTCTCACACACACACCATTTTATAAATGTTTTGAGACCCAAACTAAAATATTTTTGGCACGTACCAAAACCCTGCAGGGAGGTTTTTCTTTCGGAAGCGTTTTTTTCAACCAGACTTGGGGGGGAAAAAAAGGGGGGGGTCACCCCAAATTTATCCCTAAGAATCTTTTGAGCTGATTTTCAACTCAGAACTGGCCGTGGGCTTTAACCCCTCCCACCAACTGAGAAATGCCCAACTGGCTAAACACCCAAGCATGTAGAGAGTTCTTTTTTTGGAGCATGTGCAGAGTGCTTTTTTTTTTTTTAAACTGATTCAGCAAAGATAGCAAAGGATATGGGTGTTAATGTGGACGAAGAGGAAGAGGAGATCCGGGTGCCTAATGCCTGACACATAAATGCGTGTGTGTGTGTGTACAGACACACATGTTCTCAGAGCCTGGATGCGGCATTAATGCAAAAAGCTAACCAGGTTATACAGTCCTTATAAATAGGCAATGTTTACAGGTTACTGATACAGGTAGGAAGTGCCAGGTGCTGTACACATTCATCCAACTGTATGCACCCAACTCTGTTTTAAATGCCTGGTTTTTAGGGTTAGTTACCACCTGTATTTTTAATTGTGATTTTACTGGAATTTTTATACATTTAACCCGTCTATTTACGGGTTTTCTTATGAGGTTGGTCATTACCTTGCAGCCAGATGTTTTTGGCAGGGGTGGCAGGCAAGCCATTTTAAACACAGAATGGAATGGGATAGGATAGGATAGGGAATAGGAATAGGAATCAGAATGGAATCGGAATGGAATATGGAACGTGGAATAGAATAGGAAATAAGAATGGAATGGAATATAGTATAGAATAGAACAGAAGAATGCAATATAGAGATAGAACGTAATAGAATAGAGAATACAGAATAGAATAGAATAGAATAGAATAGAATAGAATAGAATAGAATAGGGAGAATAGAAGAATGCAATGTGAAGAAAGAATAAAATAGGGAAAATAAAATATAGCATAGCATAGAATTTTTATTGGTCAAATGTGATTGGACACACAAGGAATTCATAAGCTCACAGTGTACATATAAACAGCAAGTAATACATAAACACGCAAAATATTTCCTTAAAAGTAAGTAAATAAGCAAACAAGCAAACAAACAAACTGGCAGTTCAGATTCCGGGCAGCATAGACATTTAATAAACGAAATAAATGGAATATATAACGGAGGGTTGGGAGGGGCAGGTTAATGCTGAGTTCCCGAGCTCCCCTACCGCCTTTGCGGAGACTCGCCCGCCCCAAACCCCTCACTCACCCCGGGCAGGAAAAAGCCGGAAAAAGCACCCCAAAGGCAGAGGCGCAGGAGCCTGGAGTCCATCGCGGGCGAAAGGCGAAAATCTGATTTTCCTGCAGGGAGGGCCGTAAGGCAAAAGGATCGGAATTTACTGCGCTTGTGATGCAAAAGGACGGCGGGCTTGCATCGCTCGTCCCGGGACAGCGTCGGGAGTCGCAACAGTGGAGCAACTTGCAAGGGACGCTTCCAGCTGCCTCGGCTGCCTCTGGCGGGGCTACCTTCGCCAGCAGCTGGCAGAGAAGCCGCAGCGGAGGAAGAAGCAGCGCGGCGGGAAGAGGGCGAGACCAGCCGCGGGTCTCCCACGGGCGGGTCGGGGAGGGAGGGGGGCGGGGAGTCCCTTTTCCCAGGCCCCCCGCGGGGGAGGGGGGGG